AGGTGCTTCTTTTGCATCTGTAAACAAACTGATATGGATCAATATGCTCTTTTATCACAGGCTGAATTGTAAGTATTAATAATTTTTCCATTGTTTTGAGGAAGGGTGAAGTTATCGCAATAGGTCTAAATTTCACATTCTTATCGCCAGATACTTTCTTGGGTACAGGGATTATCTTCATCTTTCTCCACATTTTCGCTATGAGATTAGATGAGAAGGATCTGTTAAAGATAGTCGTGAATGGATAACATAGGACGTCAGCACATTTTTTTAAAAGGTTTGGGATACCATCAGGTCCTAAACATTGGGATGAATTAAGCGATTGGAGATATCTTCGGACATCAGTTTCAGTGAAACTAGGAACACAGCTATTCTTTAAACCTGTGGATGAAGGGAGCATCACATCAGATGACTGACGTACAAAAGACTTATTTAAGTCACAAACATTCAGCTGGTTATCGCTCCTAATCTGTCTGTCACTTGTAAGTTCTTTAAAGAATTCTCACAAGACAAGAGTTTTCGAGTGAACATAGAGTTGAGACGTCTAATCTCTAGGTTTATCAGACCATTTAGCTTACGAACTTCATTAGAGTTTTTCCCCTTGTACATTTTTTCTTTCACCCTCCGTAATCGTTTTACTTGTGAAGATGCAAGTCGATCAAAACTTACAAAAATGGTTTAAGTGGGGCAAAAAGTATCGAAACAGAATTTAAGGTAACAAGTGATAACATCGGTAGTGATTTTCAGTAAGTCATCTGTAAATAATTTCCAGTTAGTCGTATGAAACATATTTTTCCGATTCCGGATATTTTCTTCTGGTTAATTCCTATATTTGACTTTCCTGTTTTTGATGCAAGAGTGTACTCATTCCATGCTTTCCATATACTTTAGGTAGAACACCAATTATACAGTAATCCGAGCTAGACAATTGAGCACGTTTACGAGTCACATATATACCCACATCATTAATGAAAACAAAGTCTAAATGAGCATCCAAACGAGTAGGAAAATCTACTACATTCTGGTGACCTAGTGACGTAAGGAAGCTACATTCACATGAATTGAAATCATCACAACTGAAAGTGAATCACTGAAAGCAGTAACAGCAAACTCAGTGAATTCATCAGCGAAAACAGACAGCGCAGATGATGTGCAATCTAGAGTCACGTAAACATTGGTAACATAAACATGTTTGTATTCATTCAGATGTTTTGGACGACATCTTAGAGTTAGACAGTAGATAAACTCATTTTAAAACTTGAAACACGCAAACAAAGATCGACACCAGTTCACGTTTACAAACGTAGCTACACCGCCGCCACACCTTTTTTATTGCTTGATTGATCCTGACGATAAATTTTGAAATCACGTAGTGAAACTAGGCAGTCGTCCTGTAGATCATTTAACCAGGATTCTTGAATTGTGGTGACACCACAATTACGATACATATTTTGACTTAGTAGGAATTGAAGATAGTTCACTTTGTTGATTAGTGATCGGCAGTTAGAATTTAGCAGCTCGGGAATCGACAAACGATTAATGTTCATTCTCTTTAACGCATATCGCCAACCACCGCGGTTTCTTTTATAGTACTTTTTTGTAACTTGTGCAGCGAAAGGTTGTAGGCTTTTCATAAACGCGCCCGCATAGGTTATGCGATTGATGGACATAACGAGACGTTAGGACAAAATGAAAAAGCAGATAACCTATTGAAATAATTAGATGCCAGGAACAGGTAGCCCAGATATTCAAGCGGGCTGCCAACATGGTATTTACTCTCACCACAGAATATGAGAGAATATTAAATGGTGAATTCAAGACAACGTTTGGGAATATATACTTATCTTCCTGCACGAGTTTTCTTCAAAGTAAGTAAAGTGGTGGAATTAGGAACTAAATTTTGTGGGAGCTATAACTTTAGTATCTTCCATTGTAAGAGGTCTTGATGTCGCAGCACTCGTGCAGCAATTGTTGCTACTTCTTTTTTTCATTTACGAAGGTATGTCGAATAATAGCCTGTTTCAATTGCTTATAGGCATTAGATGCACGGCCACTAACTGTAAGATTCAATATCTCAAATGCTACTTCACTCGGCATGATTCAAAGCACAAAAGAGTATTCTGATGCCTGTGAATGTATGTTACGATGCTGAAACTGTACTTCCAACTGTGCAAACCAAATATGTGTGTTTTTCTACTGATTGGAGGTACATTTATCAAGTTTAGAGCGTAGAACTCTGTTGAAACGGTATCCTTGTTAATGCCTTCAGATTCAGATAAATATACAAAAAATAATCACTACCAACAGGAAAATTAACGCCGTACTGTTTGTGAGTGAACTCAAAATTACAATTTCGAAAAATGAATGTGCAGGCTCACCAGATTTGTGGTGGACCCCAGCAAAAGAGCTTATTCACGATTTAACAATGTGCAAACTTTACCAATAATATACCAAAAAGAGCTAACACTACAAACCTAAATGCCTTTCTATGAGTAAAGCAAAATGTAACAAATTATAGTTACAATATAAATCGTATATCAAGTAACATTCAGTTCATAACAACTGTTATCATTTTGTCATGGAAAATTTGTGTTATCAAATATTACCAACTTTATTTGAGAGCTTTCCGACTCTCCCATACAGTAGTAACAGTAGTTTTGGACCGAGATACACCGTTGTGTGATCTTTGCAGATAAGGACGACTAGAGAACCCGACTGATCTTCACGATTGTGCAGAGCAAAGTTTATATATCAGATCGCCTGAGTTTCAATGGCTTCTCCAACCATTTGGGATCATTTTCCTTCATGAAGTACTTCGACCACTTTGCAAACCTAACGCGCCTTCCTGAAAAATGCCCTCGAAACACGGAGTGAGTACAGTACACAGTACAGCAGAAATTTCAGCCTTTGACGAATCCATAAGAAAATCGTACGTACTACATATTATTTTTGAAATATTCCAGCTGAGATAGTGGAAAAATCGCAAATGAAGTTGTTATTTAGGTGGAGCTAAAAATCCCCTCCACTATCTTAAAGTTTTTATTATTCTATAGTCACCCGAACTCGTTGGTATGATCAGCTGGGTTAGAGAAAATGACATCTCTAGCGACTGAAGCAAAAGAGTCGTAATGTCACTTTCTCGTTATATTTTTATTTATGTTGTACTAATCGCGCTGAAAAACGTTTATATGATTAGTAACTTAAATCAATTATGGATAGAATGTGGTCTTTGCAACCTAGTTACGCATAAGATGAGTGTACGTCATCAAGCTCATGCCGCTTCTTGTCTTAATCCATATGTGGACCTAAACTTGGGATCCTTTGCTCTCCCTATGATAAACATTGGTATCATACCAACCTCGTACTTTCTAAGTGTCTCTAGTATTGTACACCTTAACTCCAGAAAATCATCAGAGCGGTAGCTTACGTGATGCTTAAGGAACATCCGCTCATGGTTATTCTGCTGCCGAAAAGGCACTTTGTCTTAAAATTTCTTCGAGAACTATTTAAAGTCGTTTCTAGTGTTTACTTAAGATTTAGTTAATAAACCCCAATATTATGGACCCTTACATGAAGAAACATCTCATCCCCTTGAAACGTGCTCTGAAAAAAGCATGAATGAAGGCTTTAATTGTGCAACATGAGTACAAAAGATTAGTTGGAGGGTAAGATCTCATAATGGTGAATCACATTGGCCTTAAACTTTACCCCAGTATATCACTTATGCGTTTCAGAAGTTAACTGCACCTATAAGGATATCCATTTATGCTAATAGGGAGAGCTTAAATAAAAATTTATGCAAGCGTTTTCACGGTTATAACTGCTAAGTGCCGAAACAACTTGCGAGAAAAGACAATAATGACAGTTCTAGTGAATCTCCTTAAAGAAGGCTTAAAGATTACTTTAATTCTTTATATACTGAAATGGACTACGATAGGTGGTCCTACCTCATCACCTTTTCTGTATATCAACCGATGTTTTACCTCTTCGTGCTAGAAAGGAAAATAACAAGAATTATGTTTCTCAATATTTATAACCCCTCTCCTACGTTCCAGACCAGAATAGCGTGGGACAAACAGTTCATTGATTTTGCTCATTTAAATTGAAGAGAGGGAGGAAGTGGACATCGTCACTGTGAGAAAATAAAGACATACAGCGACAGGTATCTTCATCTAGCAGTACCATTTAAAACTAACAAGGTCGCTGTAAATGTTGAGCGACTACATATATGTTTGTTTTTAAGAATGATTAACAGAAATATGTAACATGAACATTGTTGGGAACTTTACTACAGTACGAATTTATGATAGGTGGAAATGGCTTAATGCTCAGAGAGATCTATTGGTTCAAATAGTTCCAGATGGAATAGAAGACGCCCTCTAATAACGACCTTCTGTGTCTAGAAGCAGTGGATCATCGAGTCCTCTAAGTTTGGATATAGTTAAACAAAAAAGCAGAAGCAAATGAGGACGCCATAGGTATTTTTAGTTTGACAACACTTCATCCAGTAACAACCATAAATGAATCGTCCCCACTCAGTGAGATCAAAAGTCAGAAGCGAGGAAGTTCAAAGATATGTCTGGTAGACTATCAATATATAGAGAAACAACTGGTCTAGACTGTTGCAGAAGTTGAGCACGGCGTCCCAACTCGTGATCTGGAGCGGATGTATGTCTGAGCGCTTTCAGTTAGGTGAGTCCATTGAAACTAATATGGTCGAAGACTCGCAGAGCTATCGATTTTGGGGATTTATTTGCCGTTACATAAACATCAGCATATTGGTATGAAATACTATCGACGAGTTATAATAACCTAAGCTACTAAATACCGAGATTGATTTCGTTCTTGACTAGATTTTGGTGAAGTTAAAGCTAGATCATGCATGAAACTCCTAATATGTGTAGTAGATACTAGTAAGTTATCGTTATTCTTGATTGTTGCAGTGAGTTTGAGAAGACTGAAAAAGTCCGACCGCGCAGTATTTAAGTTGCGCCAAAGTAATGGCAACTGGCAGTTCGGGTGATAGCTACTATTGCCACTCTTGCGAGGCTGAGGTCGTCCCAAACTTGCAGGTTATTTTAAAATAACATTCGTTAATTATTGTTCAGGACTTTACATGCTCGGCGTGCCACTCAGGTTTCATTGAAGCAATCAGCCCAGGGTAATTTACTTTCTGCTCCTTTCCTATTGTTTTCAGAAGTGGTTTATCATCGAATCAAACAGAAGTATATATCTGTCATTCTAACCTTTATTTATGACAGTTAGATGCAATGCAGATGATAGGTCAGCTATTTGGAGGTTCTCTTAGCGACAATATTGTTCGCTATTTTGCAGCACCTAGGGATGACCTTAGTTCAACAGATGATGAGTCATTAGAAAGGGAAAATTTAGCTAGAAGGTCGCGACGATCGACAAGAAGTTCAAATAATAGGTCGACACGAGAACGTGTGTATACTCGTGTTCCGGATGGTCGCCATGCTTTTTCTACTCGCATCCAGTTATCAAGTGTGGATCATCCATTCAGATTGCCATTCTTATCAAACTTTGCCTCAACTGATGGAGATGTGCAAAATTTTGTCTTTAATAGAGGTGAGTATGTTTTTCGAATATATATTAAATAAATTAGTTTCACTGCTTACTATACTGTCATCATATTCGTCTAAGATTTTCTTAGGGCAACTAATGTATAAAGATTGAAATATTTATCTGACAACTATTTTTTGGTAGTGGGTGCATTACTCTTGGTTCAATATAACGGCTGACTTTACTAAGAAAGTCACTAAAAGTGCTAGTTTATGCTAAGTGTTTCGATAAAAGTTGATCCACTCACCTCAACTTTAAGACATCTGGCTATCAATAGAACTGATTTTATACTCTGTACCTGTACTGGACTATATTAGTATAGAGTGTTTACGGAAGCTATCAAATTTTGCAGTTTACACCGTAGACTGACCTCAGACAAAGGATTATTGTCTAAGGTCGGTCTGTGATGCAAACCACTGTTCTTTGTGATTGTCAATTAGATATTAAATTAGTTATCGGCTAATGTGTTTAATCTTAAGCTACTTTTTTGTGGCGTTACTACATGACTGCCTGAATATATGTTCCGAACCTGTGACTTTCAGGCTAAAGTAGTGTACCCCAGCTACTAAACCGACTCTCTCCCGTTCAAACTTCTATAGTTAATTGAAATTCTAAGTTATAAGAATACTTTCTAGTCATTTACTATTTTTTTGTCGTGGCTACGGTGTTTTTTTAAAGTAGAAGTGCAGTAGGGAAAAACTGGTTGCCAAACTAAACCAAAAGATTACTCTGTAAAATCATTTGTTACTGATTCGTACAAATTCAGCTTTTTCCTTTAGTGTATTAAAAGGCCAGTAGTTGGAGAATAGATTACCTACTTAAGAAGTTTTAACTGCTCAAGCTGTCTTCTTGACAGCTGTAAACCATAATAGTGTGGTTATCACGTCCTCTTTTTGAGGTATTGATAGATAATCATCTTTTAGATGCTCTTTTTGCTATCTTCCCTATTCATTTGACTCGCCTACCAGCTGTTCATACTTCGAATAGTGAAAAGTTAAGAATGCGTTCATGAGAAAATTAGCTAGGAACTCACCCGATCATGAAAATCATCCCGAAAAAGCTTGAAGTGTTACCGATAGATCTGTTTAAAAAACCAAGTTATCTGTTAGTAGTTTTAGTCGAAAAGTTAGTAAAGGTCAATGGGTTTCGTAAACCTACTAAATTGGTAGCTGCTCTGAAACCTATCTAGGGATTTCCATCAACTCTTTAGAAGGAAATGCAGCAGTACCTGTTGGGTTCACTTCAGAGGTCTACTAGGATGGTGGTCTGTCTTTGATAGTTAAGTTGACTGGGAAAGTTTGGGAGTCAGATGTACTACCATCTGCCTGATCTTTATTGATAATCGTCCCAGTTTATAGGGAGGGTTTAAAATCCCCCCGTAAAAAACACAAGAATGGCTATGGCTAATATGCTGTCTAAAATATTAGCCTCAATAATCATCCGTCACTTATTTGGAACTCAAGAAGAGCATACTCCAAAAACCAGGTTGGGTTCGTATGAATGTGGATGTGTCAATCAGACATTACCATTGGTTAAGTTATGCAACACGTACCCATTGCCATCCTTAATCGCATTTCAGGAAATGGTGACATTTGGATACTTTGACCGGGGGGGTTTGTTTGGCAGTATCTGACTTTGAATCATCATTCGCATCTCGGCGGACTGCCGAGTGAGCGGAGGTGATACTAAGTGTCGGGTATTAGGTACTTATACGAAAATAGTTGATGTAGTTGTAACTATCGGCTGAAGTGACTGAGACAAAACAGAATGTTATTAAACATCTCATTGTTATCTAATTTAACACAGCTTGAAGTAACGAAGTTACTATATAACTAATAAAAACATGTCTCCATATGCATAATTGGCCATTTTCGTTTTTTAAGCTATGCTTGATCAGTTTATCACTGTGATAATGAATGAGTTACAAGTGGGTCCACCACCTGCCCCAGAATCAGCCATTGCAGACTTACCTACAAATGTTTTGACTGAAGAACAAGCATTAAAGTTGGGTATTTGTTCAATATGCTTTGATGATTTCAAAGAATCCGAATCAGTAATCAGACTACCATGTGCTCACACCTACCATCAAACTTGTGTTACAACATGGTTAAAACAGGTTAGTATTCTGTATATACTTTATTTTTTTGTAACAGTAAAAGAAAAACCTAATTTTTGATCTATTTTGAATATGCTGAACTCGGTTGAATCGACTCTGGTCACAGGTTTGAACTTTGTTTTCTACCTAACAAATAGTGAGCAACAGAGTGAGACCTTTGACGTCTTACTCGTATAGTCTATGGTCTGGTGTGTAAACATACATGTGTTTGCTAATTCTCACTTTCATTTCAAGCTAAACATATAATTTGTAATCTAGTCAATTTAATTATAGCCTTTATTGTGACTCTTTAATTGATCCCATGTAAATCATACTGCTTTTTACTTTCACTAAGTTGACCTTCCAAGTACGTTCTTGTGTAACGCTACTCATGAATCTTCACTGAAACTAAAGCGATTGAACACTTACCTGGCTATTTATTATTTAATTTAGAATCTTTAGATTATTGGTTCAAATTTGTTCTCTGCTATCAGAACAGTTCAGTGAAAGCCTCGTTTTCCTTCACATAATATGTTCAACTACATGAATATGCTGCCAAGATTTATTTCATAGGATTAGTGTCGAATAAAGTCAATCTGAATTTCGTTTTCTGTGTTGGTTACATATACAGTTTTAACGGGGCAGCCTTATCTATCTTGGCATTTACGTTCATTATTCATTTTGACATTGAATCGTATCCACATCTAAGTTATCACTTTTTATATATTTTTTCTCCGAATTGTATGTATAAAAATACGTGAATACAAAATACTGACTTGTCTATTGAGAAATAACGATAGTTGATTGCCACTTCACTTTCACTTTTCTCAACTTACTGTATTAATTCGAAATGTGACAACTTGGATCTAATTTCCTAAATTCTGTGACAATAACGAAAGCAATTCTTTATGTCCATTGTACTTGCTTGCAGATACCTCAACCATTTAAGTTGAAAAATTCCTACTGCACCTCAGTTAATATCCTGAACCTTAATCAGCGGTCTGATGAGATCAGTGAAATGACCAATATGATTGAATTGATAACTTACCCGCTCAATCTACCCTAGAATTATAATCGATCATGACTGGGGAAATAACTCAATCGATTATGAAGGAATTAAAACTGTTCGGTTACGAAATATGCAACCAAGGTTGCGCATTCGAGTAATTACCAAAAATAATGACTACTTATAGGTAAAAATGTGACGGAAAGACAACCAATCATCTCAAATCATACCATTATTTCTCAATAAAATGATGAATTCATGGAATACATTTATCTAACAAAATTGTTTTTGTTCTCTTGTAATGTTGAGACTGTATTTATAGAAGTTTGTTGCTAATAACTTTTTAAACTACGGGATTCGGTTGTGGATAGAAGAAAAGGAATACATGTTACGGGTGATTGTTTATTTCACAAATATACTCACGGACCAATGAACTACAATCAAGGCCTTAACGCTTACTGGTCCCGAAACCCTTCATATTCCGGTAGCCAATCAATGTATGCAGATTAATCCTCTGTTGTACTTAGTTCAGTTGGTAACTCAAAAGTCATACTACAATATATACTTGAAATGACTGACGTCACAGCACACCAAATAAGAAAGTATACTTAAGACACAATCATACCATAAATGGCAGCGGGTGGACCGGATAGTGTAAAGTTAATCAGCAATAACTAAGGTATAGTAGGACGTTTAGCAACAGTTAATAGGTCCACTAAAGGCATAGAATGAGGGGAATATAGAAATGCAGCAATAAATTTATCTGCCGATTATACAGCAAATTGTAGATAATAATCATAACCCGACAGTTCCAACCTCTTCAATATTTTCTCGTTATAGCAAGATAAATTTGATAGTCAAGAGTAGCCTCATGACATCATTGGATATATCATCTGTATTGATTAATACTCCTTCACTACAAACACTCGATTTTATTTTCAGTGAACTTATAAGGAGATGTATAGATACTGTAATTTTTGTTTTTGTAATAAAACAGTTGATACTCAGGTTCATGATAAATGCCAACTTCTAATCCAACAATAAGTACGTACTAATGACAGTTAGATCATGCAGTCGTGTGATCAATAATAGATCTTCTTTCCGTCCTTTATTATTGTAAAGCTGGAGAATAGACCGCTCAAAAACTTAAGCAATCAACTAGAATTTTCCTGTTCCCCATATAAATAACAATAACTATTATTAATCACTTTATTCGATATTATATTTTTGGTACAATATAGAATTCTCAGCACAAAGTATTTAGACAAGTTTCCTTTCCTTATTTCTTCATCTATCCTAACGATAAATATTGAGTTATCACCAGTTAGATGATGTTAGCAGTTCAGGAATCGAAATCTGAACAATGGTCATTCTTTTCAATGCGTACTGACATCCAACACAATGTCTCTGATTGTACTATTTTGTAAGTTGTACGGTGAAAGATTGTAAACTTCCCATAAACGCGTCTAAATAGGTTATGCGATTAAGAGCCATAATGATGTGTTAAGACAAACAAAATATAGGTAACTTGTTGAGATATGTTGATGTCAGAAACAGGTAGCCCAGATATTCAAGCAGGTCGCCAAAGTACTTTCATGGTACTGAAAAAAGACAATTTGCTTAACATTTTTAAAAACATTCAATTACATTTGTTGTAGAAAAAGAACCGAGTTAATAGCATCTCATTTTTGTATGCATTACTAACAAGATTAGATGAAATTTTAAGAATGGTTGTTTGCGTATAGAATCATCGATTGAACAATACATTCTGTTCGATATTTTTTATTATTTAAGTACAAAGGTATCCTCACTCAATGTGCTGTAGTAACTTGTTCCTATTGATACCGTCAAAGATTATTTAAGTAAAATCTGTAGCCATTCTTAGTAAGTTTGGATATTATCCCAAATTCGTCCACACCTAAACTAGGTAACAATGATGTGGGAGATGTTACTTTGTTAAAATCACAGTTCAAAACGTTGCTTGTAATATATTAACACAAAAAGTTGAGGAAGACTGTTAACAATAATCAAACAATCACTAATAAGAAATGTCTAAATTTGCTGCATCCATGTGTGTGTATCATTTCTGGTTGTGAAGCCAGTTATACAGAAAACAAAATTCAGCGAATTCATCATTGTATCGCTGAACATTATCTAAAAAACAAGATCCAATTTTCGCTCACTTGGTTGACAGCATCATGCTTATTCAAATACAGCTCTTCGTGTTATTCACCATATTCCATCATATTTACCGCATGATTTACGGTTCTTACTTTGCATACTGATTTTATTCGCTAACTTTTGTGTTCAAAAAATGTTGAAAAGAAACTTGGATTCCCTTCACTTTTCTCAGTTGTTCTAAATTCCACTTTTTATTAAGACGTAATCTTGACATTCGTCTCTTTAATTCTTACATAACCATTACTAAACTAATTTGTTATCAAGATATTTTTGCTAATTTTCTTATCAGGTGTTATGTAACCCGTTGACCATTGAACTTCATGCTTCAAATTTCTACAAGTAAATACTTTGATCATTATGGTTGTTTTACCTAATTCCTTCCAACTTCTTAGTCATTCGATATTTTTATAATCATGAGTGAAACTTATGTCATATATATATATATATATATATTAGAGACTAATGGAAGGAAAATATTTCCCCCCCCCTATTCATCACATTACTTTTGTTGCAAAACAATAACAAAAAATTCGTACTTTTCAATTTCTGACTTTTTAGCATGGAACTTGTCCAGTTTGTCGAAAGGATTTATCCGGACGTGATACTTCACGATATGAAGATCCACCTCCAAACTTAACAGGAAATAGTAATGGTTCAAGCTCTTCCAATTCCTAGTCTTCATTATTCTTTCGATTTTTCTAAAAATAAATATAAAACCGCAAATTATATTCATTAAATTTGTCTATTTTCACACAAACACTTCAAAAACAATCCAGCTAATATATATAGTTATCGAAGTGTGTCAGCGAGATGCTGTATAGTTTCATCATTTTTTCTGTCTCTTCCCATTGTGTAGCATATTTTTTCCTTGTGTATGTATGATGAACCCAACCAGCCCTGTGTTAATTTGTGTTTGACAATTTTTCCCTGTTTCTTCTGAAATCCAACTTTTCTATCAAGATTTTTTTTACCAAGATTGTTACATTATCTTACCCAATTAATTTCACACGAACTATTAAATGCGTCCATCTTACTTTGTTTATCACTATTATTATTGTTCTTGTATTCACTAGCTTCGTGATAAGACTACTACTTGCTTTCTCATCCCACTCCACCTTTTTGCAGAAATAAAGTGAATACTCAAAAGAGGGTTTTTCATACTTCTCTACTTGTATTGTAGCAATTGTCAATTAATTATCAATCAATAAAAATAAAATGGCGAAACGATATTTCCTTTGGTTCAGTCTAATTGTTTATTCCGTCCGTTATTCGGATTCTCGCTTCATTATTTTATCTCATTATCAGTTACTTACTATTCCGTATAGATATACAGATAAGTATTATTGAAATTTCAGTTCAGTACCTATGTCATATGAAGAAAACTAATTAGCTCATTATATGTTTTGTTGACAATTTCTATATCTTTTTTACTTCATCTAAGATTCCTCGCTTCTCTAAACAATCCGTAAAGGGGTTTAACATTTATCTGATTACCCTGTCCCAAAATAAATAAATATGACTGGACATGTCGATAATTAAGGTTGGTAGAAATATTCCTGCACCCTTTCAAGTTTGACTTTCAGTTTCAGTCCTCATTATTGTATTAGCGAAATCCACTAACCAGTATTGTTTCCTCACCAATCAGCTTTAATGTTACTATATTCGTTCTTTATTTCCATTAAATGGACAAAATCCAGTTTAACAATGAATGTGGAAATTATGTCTTTAATAGATTTGTCGTGACACGTGAACTTCAGTTACATTCCATTCTACTGTTTGTTGGGTTTCAAATATGTCAAGTGCACTGTTCTCCGGTACAACACAATGATCAGTCTACGTTCCTTTATGTAACATTTAAAGGGCCGAATAGTTGGTCGATCATATGATCCCTTCTGAATTATTGGGAAACATAACTCCTACTTATACGCAGGTTGGAAATGTTATAAAGACCAACCCTTAAAATTGGGAACTAGTGTGGTACCTCATGACAGTGTTGATCAACATTAGTACTTTCTAATCAATGGCATAGCCCTTGACTTCTCAGACATTTGTTATTGCTAAGAGAATAGCCAAATCGCGAGTGCAGATCTTAACGTATAAACTAAGACTGAAGATTACTACTAAATACTAGTTAGCAACATGATCTCCTTGTGATTCCCTTTGAGTAGTTGTAGTAGGTGTTACGGCTAATGATATTCAAGTTGTTTGTTTTTGCCCTTGTATACTAACATTCTTTTACATATTGTCCTCAGCATATAACGAGAGTTACATAGTATTGCATTCATGAGTTTTGGTTCCTCTTTTCAGGAATAATTTCACGTGTTACTTAAGTGATGGCTTTTTAAATTGTATAGTGGGAATAATAAATTTACTTAACTGGTGAGCAACTGAGTATATTCGCCAAGCTACTGTTTTATTGAAACAAAGTCAGAAGGAAATTATTAGCTGGATACTTTTAATTCGTTGTAATTCATTGTTTTCTCTTCATATACATATAAGCTAATGAGTTTGGTTACTTCAGGTTAACATTGCCTAATAAATGAAGTGTTAATCAATCATATGGTCTAATTATACTGGAGAGGTATATCAGTTATTTCATTGAGAAAACGTGAGCCAGATTGCCAGGTGAAATATTGGATTTACTTCAAGTACATTCTTCCTCTTTACAATTATTAATTATTTTGTACTCTGAGAATTTTAAAATTACTTGGGCATATTAATTTTATTTATGGAGTTCTGCCGAGCGTGATTCTGAATATTTTCCATCGGTTAATCGCATATAGGTAAAACAGTCTTTTTGTATATATTGTAAATGAACGTTTCCTGTTACAGCATATCACTGGGTGATGATCACTGTCGTGTGTCAAGTCCTTGTTAGTGCAGATCGAGTGCTATCGACCAGGTTGCAATGTGGTCAGCAGTCTAGGTGACTCGATACTGCGTGCACTATGTTGAGATTAGATGGTGGTTGGAGGGAGCACCAGTTTGCTCAAGATTACAGGTACACGTTGATGACGAGTGCCGAGTAGCACGAAACCCGGATCCAGGGTTTCCTGTTGACTATCTCCAACCACTATCTAAACTCTTCAAAAGTACTGCATATCCACAATTTCACCAGGAGTCGGACGTTGAACCTTTAGATTTCACAGCGAGTGCTTAAACTTTAGACCACTGAGCTGATACCCAACCAAACTTCCATTATCTCCAGTAACTGCCTTATATCTGACAGACTCCACTGATTAACAGTTTCTCACTATGAATTCGCAAATTACCTTTTAAAATTAGTCATTAGTGACCATATGATAATCTCCACATAGCGCAAATAAACTATAAAAAAAACTGATTACACTAAAGTAATAATAATTGACCAGTATTATTATTATTATTTTAAAGGTAAATCTACTGATCGCTATGAACTGATTAGTTATGTGATCAACCTATAAGTTATGTAAGTATTGATTCACATATGTTCTTTTAACCAGTCAAGTTACAATCTAAAAATAGTAGTGAGATATATTAATAAAACTTGTGAAACTAACAATAATCAATCAATAAAAATAAATCTATCGAATTAATAAATAAAAAACTTTTTGGAAAAAAAGGATTATTTCCGAATTAAAGTCAAACTCAACAACTAACGGTATGGTTTCTATGTATGATTAGTTTATTTATAACAATTACATGTGAATAAAAGATAATCTCATTTTTTTCAACTTATAATTTAATTACTAAGGTATGATTTGATAATTTCGAATAAATTGGGCTGATTGTTATAAATAAATTAATATATTTGTAATATCTCAATGAGTAGAAAATTAGATTTTCTGACGTTTCGTGACTTGGTGTAAGTCACTTCTTCAGAGGATAAAGTTTAAATTTGTAATATGATAGTGTGAAATTGTAAATACGATCAGACTGAATGGCTAGGATAGATGGTCGAAGTAGGATGTATAGTAAGACCTTCTTTTCTATTGAGAGAAGTAGGATTAAGCATTATGTGGAACGCCTCAGCTACCCTCCTTTCTTTGTAGTTGGAAAAGCCTTTTTGCAATATTTTGATATTTTTAAAATCGGTTTGGTGGTTGTTGAAAATGGCATGAACTGCTATTGCCGATTTAATTTGAAGTTGGTTCAATTCTACCGGATTGTTAGGAGGTTTCTTTGTGTACCTAATATGTTCTTTGGCTCTAGTCACGATTTCGCGGGATGACTCTCCAATATAATAGGCATCACAATCGATACAACCTAATTTGTAAACGCAGTTCTGTGTGGACATGAAAGGGATTTTTTCTTTCAGGCGAACTAAAGTATTACGTAGTGTGTTCGTTGTTTTGTAATACACTTTAATTCTGTGATGTTTTAAGATTCTTTGAATTTCTTCTGTTGTGCCATGACGGTATGGTAGGACTACAGTACCAATCCATGGCATTTCATTCGAATCATTATTATAATGTAATAAACTGTTTTGTTTTAATATGCTTCTAATAATCTTCATAGGAAAATTATTAAATTGTAAGATGCTAACTATATATATATATATATATATATATATATATATATATATAAAGGCAGAGTTTAGCGGGAATAAAAAGAAATGAACATAAAGTGGACTCATCATTTTTATCGTCAAGAGTACCGTAAAGTAGTTAGAACAAACTAAATATTTAAACTAATTATCATCAGAGATTAAGTTATTTTGAACATCATGTTTATTATAGACTAAAGTCATTTGGAAATCTGTTAAAAATGACTGAATGCAAAGTTCTAGACCAGACCACCTCAATATTTCATATCTGCGACATCCTGTGAGATAAAACTCAAGATTAACTGATCTTTTACAAACAGGATACCAATGTTAGCCAAGTCATCTAATAATCTAAGTTTTGAACTCAATCTTTTAGTCATATAACACGATTTTGATGTAATATCACTAATAAGCTAATGCACCTTTAATGAAGTGAACTACCCTTCAGATCATGGTGTCATACAAAAAAATAAAATTAATACGTTCGGACTCTCATCGCTTATGAGAAATTCAGCATTACTATGTTAGTCACATAGAGATGTTTGTTTACATCAAGAACTGTTGTGACTTGCTGAATAACTATTATAAACCATAGTCAACTAAACGGTTGTTTTGTTATTATTTGAGATTCATTTGCATTGTGTATTTAGTCAAAAGCTGTGATTTAGAACCATATATCGTAAATTGATTGGATTTAAAAATTTTACCTATTGGGTTCCTAAACATCAACTTCATTATTAAGTATTCGTCAGTAATATTGAGTACGTTTGGATTCAATCATATGTCAGATAATGTGTGCAGCTTACTAAAAACTCTCAAATTAAATGAATCAGCTGTTTAGTGTTCACTGGTTTACAATGGTCCTTCAGTTGATATCGGTCTGTGATTATAACTGTCTTCAAATTAAAAGACTAATATGATGAAGATCTTCAAACGATTACCAGTGTGTTAGGAATAAGTTTCAAATCATTTCTGTCATCTAGCTGTTAGTTATGAAAGAACACAAGTAAATTATGTAAAAGAATATCCGTAAAACTCAAACTTATTTGATTACATACTATACAGACAGAGAAAAGTGTCTCAACTTATTTCTGGTATTAATAGATCATTTCTAATCTGATAAAAGTTTCGATAACCCTACGTGATTACT